TAGTGACTTTTGTTTTTGGACGATTTGTGGGGCCTGTGTGTGATTTAAAAGAAGAATCGGTACACGTAATATTTGTCTCCCCACGCCCCGCCTATACACACACAGCTCACTTCTTTTTGGTAGTTTCCGAGCCTGTCACCTTGGCACAAGGTTATGAGGGTATTCCGCAATGCTGTTGATATCGCATGTTGTATATTTTAGCACGCCAGCGCTTTAAACACTCCAAAAACATAGAGAAACTAGCCCTAACACAACTCCCTAAAGAGTGCTGCAACTTATGTCATAGGCATTCTCGTTCTCGGAATGAAAAAGTAAATGCAAGATAACGCAGAAAGCAAACAGAGCGGGACACACCCGTAACCTTCAGGAAAGTCGACTAGTCCAACAAACTTGTGAATAAAAAGTGACCTACTCTATCCAGGGTAAAATACGGGGTGACTGCAGTCAAGCTAATACTATGAATTCCAGGGGAATTTGACTAAAAAGCTTAGCCAAATGGGGAAGCAAAAAAAAAAAAAAAAACATGCACAAAGCAACACAAATAACGTAACATTTCTGCCGGGCAGCCTTTGTCAAACATAAAGTGAACTACACAAAGGTGACGACGAGGAGAGGAGAGTATACAAATCTCTAAGGAGTGATGTGAGTGCAATGACTCTGTTCTTTATTCACTCTGGCTTCAGTCACTTGCAGACGCCTCTTTCACGCACCGACATCAACACCACCAGTAAAAATGGACGACAGTGAACGATACAATGCGGTTTCACACTTTATTCTCCACTCGCTGTTTCTTCAGCCGGTACATAAATGAAGGACATGTCTAGATACTCATATCTATCCCAAGATGCATTTATAATTAACAACTTTACCTTCACCTCTGGACAACCACAACCGACCATTCCACAATAACAACCGAACAGAAACAATTATTCCTCATGACGGCGACGAACACTATCAACTGGCAGACGATTTCCCGTCAGTCTTTGCTGCCTGGCCAAGTAGGCGTTAGAAACTATCTATCTATCTATCTATCTATCTATCTATCTATCTATCTATCTATCTATCTATCTATCTATCTATCTATCTATCTATCTATCTATCTATCTATCTATCTATCTATCTATCTATCTATCTATCTATCTATCTATCTATCTATCTATCTATCTATCTATCTATCTATCTATCTATCTATCTATCTATCTATCTATCTATCTATCTATCTATCTATCTAATCTATCTATCTATCTATCTATCTATCTATCTATCTATCTATCTATCTATCTATCTATCTATCTATCTATCTATCTATCTATCTATCTATCTATCTATCTATCTATCTATCTATCTATCTATCTATCTATCTATCTATCTATCTATCTATCTATCTATCTATCTATCTATCTATCTATCTATCTATCTATCTATCTATCTATCCATCTATCTATCTATCCATCCATCTATCTATCCATCCATCTATCTATCCATCTATCTATCCATCTATCTATCTATCTATCTATCTATCTATCTATCTATCTATCTATCTATCTATCTATCTATCTATCTATCTATCTATCTATCTATCTATCTATCTATCTATCTATCTATCTATCTATCTATCTATCTATCTATCTATCTATCTATCTATCTATCTATCTATCTATCTATCTATCTATCTATCTGTCTGTCTGTCTGTCTGTCTGTCTGTCTGTCTGTCTGTCTATCTATCTGTCTGTCTATCTGTCTGTCTGTCTGTCTGTCTGTCTGTCTGTCTGTCTGTCTGTCTGTCTGTCTGTCTGTCTGTCTGTCTGTCTGTCTGTCTGTCTGTCTGTCTGTCTATCTATCTATCTATCTATCTATCTATCTATCTATCTATCTATCTATCTATCTATCTATCTATCTATCTATCTATCTATCTATCTATCTATCTATCTATCTATCTATCTGTCTATCTGTCTGTCTATCTGTCTGTCTATCTGTCTGTCTATCTGTCTGTCTATCTGTCTGTCTATCTGTCTGTCTATCTGTCTGTCTATCTATCTATCTATCTATCTATCTATCTATCTATCTATCTATCTATCTATCTATCTATCTATCTATCTATCTATCTATCTATCTATCTATCTATCTATCTATCTATCTATCTATCTATCTATCTATCTATCTATCTATCTATCTATCTATCTATCTAGCTACCTACCTACCTACCTACCTACCTACCTACCTGTCTGTCTGTCTGTCTGTCTGTCTGTCTGTCTGTCTGTCTGTCTGTCTGTCTGTCTGTCTGTCTGTCTGTCTGTCTGTCTGTCTGTCTGTCTGTCTGTCTGTACATATTACATATGTACGTATGTATTCATGTTTGTATGTATATATGCATGTATGTATTATGCATGTATTAGACTGCCTTGTCTATGTTTATCTATGTATGTCTACCTGCTTAAACACACACACAGACAAACACTCACACACAAACACTCACACACACACACTTACATTCACACACAAACACACGCATCTGAGCAATGCTGAATATGAAGAGACCACGATTCCATTTGCCGGTGATTGGCAAATGCTTTGCCTTAGTGTCGACAATGGCAGCGAAACGGCGGACAAGCTAGTGAACTTTAAGAGTTACACAGTAAAAACACAAAGTTAGTTGCGTATCCTTCACATGACGTTGCAAAACCAACCCTAGATTTTTTGGCTGTTGTGGTTTTTCTAGACAACTTTTACTTTTAGTAGTTTGTTAAAAGTACTAGCAGTCAACAAATGTTAGGATCGGTTTGCAATTGCCTTCTGTTCCTACAAATTTCATTCCATGTGTTACAGTCTGCTTCACTTCATTGAATATCAATATAGTTATGTGTTTGGGTGTTGTATGTATGCTTTTTGGTTACTGATTTAAGGATCGACATCATAGCACACTGGGCATACCCATAGATATTCCGTCTCCAGCAGCAAATGTCTTAAGGTATAGAATGGATGCTAACTGTTCCCGTAGCACATTGTTTATACACACGTCGTTCTGGTCCTCTCAGATCGATTCCACTGCTAACTCCTCAGCCACTCATTCTTGCACATGTTATGTCATCAAATCTCGTGTATTCTGCGGCGTCCGTGGCTTAGGCGTTGCGAGTCCGACTCGTAATTCCAACGTACTGCGATCGAAACCCACTGTTGGCTTGGTGGATTTTTATCATGGCATGGGGCGTTGCAGGTCGACGCAGCCTAAAATGGGTACCAGGATGGCTGTCCTTGGGAAGTAAACACGGCCGGCGTAATGATGACCACATTACCCACCTAGTGCCGATGGCCTGTAAAAATATAGGCGTTCTTCCCATATACCCGATACGCCTAAAAGGCGTGAAAATGGACTTAACTAATTCATGTCTTCTATCAACATTCGTTAATATATGCTCTTCAGAATATCTGCCTTGTCCAGTATGAGTGTTCCAGTAGCTTTCGCTTTTGTAGCTAGAAAATCTGCTCTTTCTTTACACCGCACTCCTGCATATCCTGGACAGTCTTGTCCACAATTGCCTCACAGCGTAATGGGGAGTCGCAGTTTTCTATTCTGGGCCAGGTGTGTTGCACGTGTTGTTGTTAGTCCGTGTTGCCTCAGAATCTCTAATATATTGTCTATCCATCGTATTCTCGGTCTGCCTCTTGCTCTAGGGCAGTAGTGTTGTTCGTTGTATGCTCGTAGAGGCAGTTGGTCGGTTTGCATTCGCATCAAGTGGCCAAACCACTCTATTTGTTGCTTCTTTATGTATTGCAGGCATGGTGTGGTTCCTACAATTGATCTAATGTTCTCGTTTCGAACTCTGTCTCTCCTTGTGACATTGGCAGCCTTACGTAAGCATCTCATTTCGCACGTCGTGATCTTTTTCTCCTGTGCTCTTGTTAGGGACCAGGTTTGGCATTGGTAGCATAGGGTTGGTATAAACATGCAATTTATCAGTTGTCGTTTTAGTGCCATAGTGATGCTTGGGTGTTTTAGCAGTGGGGAGAGTTGGTAAGTTACTGCGATCGCCTTTTGACATCTTGCCTCAAGTTCCCTATCAATTCTTCCATCATCTGTGAAGATGCTTTCCAAGTATTTGAATTGCTGCACTTGTTTGAGTTGTTCGTTGTAAACTTGAATAGTTTGTATATTAGGTGTTCTACTTATTTTCAGAATTTCTGTTTTGGTGATGCTGATCTTCATGTTATATTCGTTGCAGACTGTGTGTAGCGCATTTACGTGGATTTAAAGTTCTTTTTCGTTTTCATGAATTATGCTTTGGTCGTCTGCGAAAAGTATTTCGTTCAGTTGGGGATATACTTCATCAGGATCGGCGTGTATGTTTTCATTATAATGATCTCTTTCAACTAACTCTGTCTCACTGCTTGGTGTAGTTAAAAGTTCGCTTATCATTACATGGTTTGCTGCTATTGTTATTCTGTCCATGTATATATTGAATAGTAGTGGCGATAGTACACTACCCTGTCTTACTCCTGTTCTTAGTATGAATTCGTCTGTCACACCAACATTTGTTCTAACTACGCTTGAGCTTGTTTGGTACAGAGATCTGATGTTGTCTAGTAGCTGACCTTGTACTCCATAGTCGTTCAATATATTCCATAGTTTGTTCCTGTCTACCCTGTCAAAGGCTTTTTCTTGGTCAATGAATGCTATATTGAGTTGTTTGTTATATTCTATTGCCTTTTCACTAAGTTGTCTTAGGGTGAAAAAGGCGTCTGTGCAACTTTTTCCTTTCCTAAATCCAAACTGAGCTTTACTCAGCTGTATCTCTACAATATGTTTTGTTCTTGTCTCAAGTACTTTTGAATATAGCTTCCCTACGTGGCTCAATCCTGGACAGTATATCCAAGTAATTCTCTGCAATGTCGGCGTACCTGTAATTGGTATTCACGCACGACACATTGTTAACCAGGTGTGTATGCATGATGTATGCGTATCTGACACCGAGGTGTTTTCTTTTTTCCTGGATCCACCACAGATCCATGGGGTCGACCAAAGTCTCTTCAATACCTCGTGGGACCTGTCACTACCCGTGTCGGGCATCAAGTTTCTGCATGTGATCAACGCTCAGCCACAACTGTATGGGCCGAAGATTGTCAGTGGGAACTTTTATCGCTTCTTCGAGGTGAATATACCCGTGATTTTTTCAATCTTTTAAATTAGGACGAAAAGACGAATCAGATGACGACGGTGAGTCGGCAACCCTCAAAAGACAAGTAGAACTTCAATTCAAAAGATTTGTCGCCAAACATGAATACTATACAGGTAGCCAAAGAAAAATAGTAAACCAAGACAGGACTGGTGTTAACAGTCGCCACACGCTGGGGGGATATACTAAAGATGGGATCCAGAGTGCTTAGGGACTTGTCCGTTGTGCAATGAGGATAATCTGTCGATTAACTAACCAACTGAGTAATAACTTGTGACCGTTAACAATTTTGGAAACTGTAGGACTAGAGGTATATGTGTAAGGTGGTTTCTACTTTTCTGTCTTTACAGACGATGGTACTATATTGTTCTATGTAGGGAAACATACATCAGAAGGAGACGGTCATCATTTTTCGGCCATGTTATGAGAAGAGGGAAAATAGAACATGTGGTGACCACTGAAAAGATGTGTGAAAGGAAGGAAAAAGGAAGGCATGGAGGTGTGTCGGCACACGAACTGATACATGCTGCAGGAGATCATGGATTATGGAGAGGCATGATCGCAAGGCACCTGCTGATGATGATATAGGGAAACATTTACACAGCATTAGGCCCAGCGCACTAGCTAAGCTGGTTAAACCATCTGCGCGGCGACGGGGTGACCAACTCCTCGTGATCCGAGTTCACGCTTGGCGGTAGGCAAAAAAGCCACATATTTCCCATTTTTACAGTATCTATCACAGACTCAAGGCCGAAGGTTTGCGATATCCATAGTACTGAGCCAAAGGGCTCACGACTCATGGTTTCGGGATCTCTCCCCCCCCCCACCCCACCCACCCACCCCCAGCCCCCCCCCCCCCTTTTCCGAAAAAGAAAAACTGCATTAAAAGTCTAGAGTTGTTTCAGCAAGGAAATCAAAGCCAAAGCTTCCAGAGTACACATCTTCCTTGTTGTCACAGACGGATGTGAGTCCTAGATTGTCTCGCAATCATGATGGAAGTAAATGTGGGCTTTTGGGCTGAAATGCTATAGAAAGATTCACAGAATCTTATCTGTGATTTGTGATCATCCTGTCTGTGATGTTGATCGTCCTATCTGTGATGTTTATCGTCTTATCTGTGATGTTTATCGTCTTATCTGTGATGTTTATCGTCTTATCTGTGATGTTTATCGTCTTACCTGTGATGCTGATCGTCCTATCTGTGATGTTGATCGTCCTATCTGTGATGTTGATCGTCTTATCTGTGATGCTGATCGTCCTATCAGTGATGTTGATCGTCCTATCTGTGATGTCGATCGTCCTATCTGTGATGTTTATCGTCCTATCTGTGATGTTGATCGTTCTGACTGTGATGTTGAACGTCCTGACTGTGATGTTGATCGTCCTGACTGTGATGTTGATCGTCCTATCTGTGATGCTGGTCGTCTTATCTGTTATGTTGATCGTCTTATCTGTGATACTGATCGTCTTATCTGTGATTTAAGTCGTCCTGTCTGAGATGCTAATCGTCCGATATGTGATGTTGATCGTCCTATCTGTGATGTTGATCGTCTTATCTGTGATGTTTATCGTCTTATCTGTGATGTTTATCGTCTTATCTGTGATGTTTATCGTCTTATCTTTGATGTTTAACGTCTTATCTGTGATGTTGATCATCCTATCTGTGATGCTGATCGTCTTATCTGAGATGTTGATAGTCCTATCTGTGATTTTGATCATCCTATCTATGACGTTGATCGTCCTATCTGTGATGTTTATCGTCTTATCTCTGATGTTTATCGTCTTATCTGTGATTTTTATCGTCTTATCTGTGATGTTTATCGTCTTATCTGTGATGTTGATCGTCCTATCTGTGATGTTGATCTTCTTTTCTGTGATGCTGATCGTCCTATCAGTGATGTTGATAGTCCTATCTGTGATGTTGATCGTCCTGTGATGTTGATCGTCCTATCTGTGATGCAGATCGTCTTATCTGTGATGTTGATCGTCCTGACTGTGATGCTGATCGTCTTATCTGTGATGTTGATCGTCCTATCTGTGATGCTGGTCGTCTTATCTGTTATGTTGATCGTCCTATCTGTGATACTGATCGTCTTATCTGTTATGTTGATCGTCCTGACTGTGATGCTGATCGTCTTATCTGTGATGTTGATCGTCCTATCTGTGATACTGATCGTCTTATCTGTGATGTTGATCGTCTTATCTGTGATGCTGGTCGTCTTATCTGTGATGTTGATCGTCCTATCTGTGATACTGATCGTCTTATCTGTGATGTTGATCGTCTTATCTGTGATTTTGGTCGTCCTATCTGTGATGTTGATCGTCCTATCTGTGATGTTGGTCGTCCTATCTGTGATGTTGATCGTCCTATCTGTGATGTTGGTCGTCCTATCTGTGATGTTGATCGTCCTATCTGTGATGCAGATCGTCTTATCTGTGATGTTGATCGTCCTGACTGTGATGTTGATCGTCCTGACTGTGATGTTGATCGTCCTATCTGTGATGTTGATCGTCTTATCTGTAATGTTGATCGTCCTATGTGTGATGTTGATCGTCTTATCTGTGATGCAGATCGTCCTGTCTGTGATGTTGATCGTCATATGCGATGCTGATCGTCCCTTTCTCACCTTAAATTGGGGGTCAATGTACCCACACAGGAAAACATGTTCTAAGATCGTTAACAATTGGTATGTTTCTCTTCTTATTGTCTGGCCAAAGAACAGTGTTTGTCTTTTTCTTACTGTTGTATATGGAGGTCTACCTTCATTATCTTCTTTCAAGCAATCGTTGTTAGTTACTCTGGCCGTCCAAGGTTTTATATAAATGACTAAGTAAAAAAAGTAAAAAAGTAATGGGCTCTTTTCCCCGCCTTTAGGCGTATAGGGCATATAGGGCAAGACCTATATTTTTTATAGACCAATCGGCACAATATGGGTGATGCGATCAGCATCAAGCCGGCCGCCTTTTCTTCCCGAAACTGCACCCGGTACGCACTCAAGGCTGGGTCGACCTGGGAGCTAAGGTCATTTTTGAAAAATTCCGGCTCCGCCAGGGAGCGAACCCACGACCTTCCGATCCGCGGCGAGTGTCTAGCCGCTCAAATAAGTTCTGTACGGTTCTGGTACTGGACCCAGGGGTTGGTGAGCTGCCATAATTGTCCGCAGGAGTTTACCCTTGGTGAAGGCCAAGAAGGAGAAGAAGAATATGGAGCAGTAGAACCCTACACACGGATTTCTGCAGTTCCTCCTGAATCCCCTCTCTCTACCCACAGACGGCGATCTCCTACTGGTTGACCAACGCCTACCGAGGCAACCGAACCACGGGAGCCAACTATACGAAAGACGTCCATTTTGCCAAAGTTCTAGGGTTGAGTGGCGACAGCAGTGACCTAGGACTTGTGAGAGCTAAACCTGGCAACAACGATCCCCACGAAGACTACACTCCCGATAGTAAGTCAGTACACCTCTTCACCAGTTTGTTTGTGTTATACGCTGATGAAGACTTTGTAGCCGCAACATTCATTTGTCGCTTGTGATTGTGATAATGTGTTGCTGACTAAGTCTATTTCTCATGTGATTTGATATTTTTCCGCTAGTGCGTGTTGCTCTACTTTCTGTGCGTCTGCGCGTGTGCATGTTTTTTTTTTTTTTTCTTCGTCGCGTTCACCAGCTGTACACTCTGGCGGAAAGTTCTGGTTGTTCGTCCACTTCTGAACTGCAGTCCTGCTCCAGAACCTGAGTGTTGCGTGTGCATCAGTTTTACAGTTCTGATTCACTTGAATGCAGACAATTAGTTCCTTCCCTCTAAGGCAGATGCACTCCGACTTACGACATGCTTTTGGGGAGGCAGTGGGTCTATTCTTATTTTCCCCAAAAGAGGACCCCGGAACCCACACAGGGGGTGGGGGGGGGGGGTGCGTGTGCTCTGTTACATTTCTATTTCGCTTTTGTTCCTCCCACAAATACAGGTTAGTGTGTCAAGGCGTCGCCGCACACACATACACACACACATACACACAAACATACAGGCACATGCATACCGCACACACATACACACACATACATACACACACTCACACATACAAACATGCTTACATACATACATACATACATACATACACACACATAAACACATACATACACATACATACACACACTCACATACATACATACAGACAGACAGACAGACAGACAGACAGACAGACAGACAGACAGACAGACAGACAGACAGACAGACAGACAGACAGACAGACAGACAGACAGACAGACAGACACACACATACACACATACACACATACACACATACACACATACACACATACACACATACACACATACACACATACACACATACACATACACACATACACACATACACACATACACACATACAGACAGACAGACAGACAGACAGACAGACAGACAGACAGACAGACAGACAGACAGACAGACAGACAGACAGACAGACAGACAGACAGACAGACAGACAGACAGACAGACAGACACATACACACACTCACATAATACATACACATAATACACACTCATACATACACATACATACCCACAGCCACGCACACATACATACACACAAGCTTTTTGATAATCTTCTTCTGACACACATATACACACATATGCACTAACCATGTAAAGAAGATGATTTATGTGCATAGATTTATAAATATGTGTGCATGTAAGGGGAAGCAGTTGTGACACACACACATACACACACACACACATGCGCTTTTATAGATAATCTATTTAGGTCGCGCGCCGCGCGCACACACACACACACAATGCGGAGAATATTACTTATGTGCGTGTGAGAGAGTACAGTTGTGACACACACACACAGACACACAATGCAGAGAGTATTACTTGTGTGCGTGTGAGAGAATACAGTTGTGACACACGCACACACATACAAAAACAATGAGGATAATATTACTTGTGTACGTGTGAGAGAGTACAGTTGTGACACACACACACTCACACACAATGCGGAGTATATTACTAGTGTGCGTGTGAGAGATTACAGTTGTGACACACACACATACAATGCGGAGAATATTACTTATGTGCGTGCGAGAGAGTACAGTTGTCTCACACACACACACACACACACACACACACCTTTGATGTCTTTAGTCTGTTTCATCTCATGCTTTCTGCAATCATGTCTTCCTTCATTCCCATTGCATTCCCGGTGGTCCCTTTCAACACAACACTGTCCGTGGTATTTTGTTCCAACGAGCCCATTTCAGTACCTCTATCATTGCTTGCACATATCCTTATATCGTAGTCGTTGTCGGCCACGACAAATTCTACCAGTCTTTAGTTAGTTCACTATAGGGGATGCATTATATTTTTTTTTTAAATATATATAATGTGTGTGTGTTTGTGTGTGTGTGTGGGTGTGTGTGTGTGTGTGTGGGTGTGTGGGTGTGGGTGTGTGTGTGTGTGTGTGTGTGTGTGTGTGTGTGTGTGTGGGTGTGTGTGTGTGTGTGGCGAGAAGGGATGTTTCTGAGCATGAATGTATATGTTGGGAGAGGACAGAGAACTGTCTTTTTATATGGATGTTAGTATGTGGGTAGCCAGAAGGGATGTTTCTTGAGCATAAATGTATGTGTGCGGCGAAGGGAAAGAGTTTCTTTGATATGGATGTTCGTATATATGGCGTGCATATTCTAGTCACAACTATAACCTAAAGCTTCCTTTTTCGGGGATGCTGATTGAACGAGACAATTTTGTTTTTCGTGGTTTGAGAGGAGATGGAAGTTATTTGCTGCTGCTCATGTTAGTATGTTTGTGTATGTGTTGTGTGTATATGTTGTGTGTAAATGTTTGTGTATGTGTTGTGTGTATATGTTGTGTGTAAATGTTTGTGTATTTGTTTTGTGTATATGTTGTGTGTATATGTATCCATTTGTCAGTGTGAGTGTACATGTGTGTATTTTGTGTGAGTGCGTATGCCCAGATGTGTGTGCGCGTGACTGCACGTGAAGAACACTTTGCTCGGCAGTCTCGCATCAGACACATTTTAGACGATGACGCAAGTGATCGGCACCACACAGGCTGCCTTTACTTCCCAGATCGTTACCTGGTACATATTTTAGGCTGGGTCGACCTGGAAACCCAGACCATTAATAATCTCTCACACACACACACACACACACACACACATCCAACTGCCTTAACGGAAATGGCGTTTGTGTACAGGAAACGTGTACGGGGCCAAACTGGTGTACTTCGTCATTGAGATTGACACAACCCTGATTTTTGGGGACACTGACTACAAGACTGGCCTAGCGGCTTATGAGGCTTGGGAGAAGTTTACAGCACGTTGGGTACGTACAGGCACCTTGTTGTTGTTAGTAGTAGTAGCAGAAGCAGCAACAAAAGTAGCAGCAGCAGCTGTAGTAGTTATAGTAGAAGCAGAGCAGTAGCAGCAGTAGCAGTAGTAGTTGTAGCAGCAGCAGCAGCAGCAGCAGCAGTAGTAGTAGTAGTAGTAGTAGTAGTATTAGTATTAGTAGTAGTAGTAGTAGTAGTAGTAGTAGTAGTAGTAGTAGTAGTAGTAGTAGTAGTAGTAGTAGTAGTAGTAGTAGTAGTAGTAGTAGTAGTAGTAGTAGTAGTAGTATTAGTAGTAGAAATAGTATTAAGAAGATAGTTGTTGTGGCGGTGGTAGTGATAGTAGTAGCAGCAGCAGCAGCAGTAGCAGTAGTAGTAGTGGTGGTGGTAGCAGTAGTACGAGGGGGCTTTAATTGAAAAGAATGATAGAAATTTCAATAACCATACCAGATCTAGCAAAAGATTTTTTTTAACGGATAACATAAGGCTGCTCCTGTTTGGTGCATGTTGGGCGGCCATCTTTAAACCGTCATTATGACGTCATCGTGTTCGCCTACATCTCCTACACCGTGATGTCACGTGTTTAACCTCATGGGATCAGTCAGTAGAGATACACTGGAATACCTCACCGGCGACTGGGTCGCCCTTTGGCTCGCCGGTAGACGACTCCGTCGCCGGTCGTGACAGTATTCGGGTCTGTCTCCTTTGATTGTATCAACACCACAGAAGACTTGTTCTTGGCTCTTGGCGGCGAGCAATGCTAGGCCATTTTATATGGCGCACAAAACTTATTCACAATTATAACCTAAGGCTTCCCCATTCGGGGATGCTGGTTGAACGTGACGATTTGTTTTCCTACCTATCTGCTGTATCGGAACCCAGATGGAATGTCCGATGTTCAGTGACGTCTTCACGAAGCAGTAGTAGCAACGGCAGCATTAGCAGCAGTAGTAGCAACGGCAGCATTAGCAGCAGTAGTAGCAACGGCAGCATTAGCAGCAGTAGTAGCAACGGCAGAAGTAGTAGCAGTAGTAGCAACGGCAGCATTAGCAGCAGTAGTAGCAACGACAGCATTAGCAGCGGTAGTAGCAAGGGCAGCAGTAGCAATAGCAACGACATCAGTAGCAACGGCAGCAGTAGCAGCGGTAATAGGAACAGCAGCAGTAGCAGCTGTTATAGCAGCAGCAGTAGCAGCAGCAGTAGCAGAAGTAGCAGCAACGGCAGCAGTAGCAGCAGTAATAGGAACAGCAGCAGTAGCAGCCGTAATAGCAACGGCAGCAGTAGCAGCAGTAGTAGCAACGGCAGCAGTCGCAGCCGTAATCGCAACGGCAGCAGTAGAAGCCGTAATAGCAACGGCAGCAGTAGCAGCAGTAGCAGCAACGGCAGCCGTAGCAGCAGTAGTGGCAACAGTAGAAGCAGCAGCCTTAGTGTTTCTTGTCGTCTTTGTCGTCTTTCCGGAAGGTAATATTAAATAGTACTGTATAAAATGGGATCACAGTCTTTGGCGATGGCGAGTGATTTGCAAGACCCACGTTAAGAAGAGGCTTCCACAAATAGAGTATGGGATCTCGGAACCGTTGTTGCAAGTACTAGTAGTTAACGTAATGCTGCTGAGATATTCATCTCTGAACCAAGGATTTTATTTATGGCAGTACGTAGTATCGGCACGTTTTTGTAGGCATCTTTTTTCCCCTAGTTTTACTGTAATAGATAGACACTTTGTGGCGAGTAATGACAACAGTGAACACAGTTGTGAGTACTGGCACCCGTGTACACAGTTGTGAGTACTGACACCCGTGTACACAGTTGTGAGTACTGGCACCAGTGTACACAGCTGGGAGTACTGGCACCAGTGTACACAGTTGTGAGTACTGACAACAGTGTACACAGCTGTGAGTACTGGACCCGTGTACACAGTTGTGAGTACTGACAACGGTGTACACAGCTGCGAGTACTGGACCTGTGTACACAGTTGTGAGTACTGGCAACAGTGTACACAGCTGTGAGTACTAGACCCATGTACACAGTTTTGAGTACTGACAACAATGTACACAGCTGTGAGTACTGGACCAGTGTACACAGCTGTGAGTACTGATAACAGTGTAGACAGCTGTGAGAACTGGCACCAGTGTACACAGTTGTGAGTACTAGCACCAGTGTACACAGCTGAGAGTACTGGCACCAGTGTACACAGCTGTGAGTACTGGCACCCGTGTACACAGTTGTGAGTACTGGCACCCGTTTACACAGTTGCCATTACTGGTCCCTTTTTTCGAAGGGAAATAAATGCAGCCATTGTTGTCTATTGTAACCATACGCCCTTCTCTATTTACCCTTCCATTCAACAAGGTCCTTTGATTTTTTTGAACAACGGATCAACATCGTGGCACGCGGGTAGTAACCCATAAGTGCTCCGTCTTCTTCTAACTCAAGTCTGAGTCCTAAGAAGGTTAGCACAGTACAGAAGTTCTATATCACCTCTGAGGATACTGAAATAGGGTAGATTGTTAACTCTAAAGTTTGTTCGGGCAGCGCCGTTGGGCTACACTTTTCTATTTCCAACTGTTAAGTAATTTTATTATGAAATGGTTTGGTCACCTAATGAGAATGGAACCAACGATGCCAGCATCAAGAGCATACAACATGAAAATAGAAACACCAAGGGGCAGGGGAAGACCAAGAAGAAGATGGATTGAAGGAGTCACGGACAACTTGAGACTTCATAACATCACGGCATATAAAGCGACTGAGCGCGCCCTGGCTCGGTTGCCGATCATCTGATAGACTGCGACGCCTAGCGGCACAAGCTGATTTTTGACAAAAGAAGTAATTTTATTCATACGCAACAATGCACACAGGCGTCCGATCTGATTACCCAGAAACCAGAGGTAATTACTAAGAGTCCGAATCGGTTAGTTGCGTATCCTTTACAGGACGTTCCAGAACCAACCCTAACAGCCCCTGGCTGTTGTGTGGTTTTCTAGGCAAATTTACGTCCAGTAATTTGCCATTGCTTTCCGGACGGTCGGCTTCCTTGATACCACTGTCGAAACCAACGCATGGCCCACAGCTGGGATCGAACCCGGCATCACGGCATTACAAAGCGTTCGCATCGACTTAGCCACAGAGCCGACAAAAGTCCGAGTACACTAAAAAAAATCGCCAGCCCTTACCGTTTTAGTAGTATTGACTCAATGTTATATGTTATCTTCTGCGTGTTGAACTTAGCCTGTTCAAATGGTCTTGTAGTCTACTCCCCTTATTGTAAAATAGACACTAGAAGGAGCGAATCCATTATGTGTGGAGAAAATTACTCCTCGGGAAAGTAAATTGCATCATTTTTAGGGTTTTTTATCTGTCGTCTGCTTTATAGCTAGCATCTGTAGATATTCCATCCATGAATATATTTAATAAGAGAAGGGAGAGCAAACATCCCTGCCTCACCCCTGTAAGTACTTTAGTGATCTCAAATATTAGTAGTAGATTCACAGTTTCAAAAATTACTAGTAATGATTTGAGTGTTAAATGTTGAAATATGAATCGATATTACAGCGCTTGGGACACTCCTATAAGCGCTCCGTCCCCATCTTCAGCAACAAGCAAAGAGTTCCAGTTGCGATGGTACCAGTAACTGTCTGATTGTACACCCGTCTCTCCTTTCTCTTGAGTGTCGAGCGTCGGCCAGACCCCCGACAATTCCCGGCGGACTAATGAGTTAAGAAAAGACATAGCAATCGGACATTCTCATAAGTGCTCCATCCCAATTTTCAGCAGTTCCAATTCCGATGTTAGCAGTTGGTAAAGTAAAGGAGTCGGCTCTGTGGCTAAGTCGATGCGACCGCTTCGCTTCGTAATGCCGGGATGCCAGGTTCGATCCCAACTGCGGGCAATGCGCCTTGCGTTGGTTTCGACAGTTGTATCAAGAAAGCCGAACGTCCAGAAAGCAATGGCAAACTACTGGATGTAAATTGCCTAGAGAAACCACACAACAGCCAGGGGCTGTTAGGGTTGGTTCTGCAACGTCCTGTAAAGGATACGCAACTAATAAAGTAAAGGACTCTTCCGCAAGCATTCGTGCATACTAGGTATATAAAGCTAAACCCATGTTCTATAGACCAGTGGGTGATGTGGTCAACATCACGCCGGCCGCCTTTGCCGAACTGGGAGCCAAGAACGTTTTTGAAAAACCTCTGAATCCATCAGTACTCGGACCCACGTAGGGCAAAATAACTGGGCCATCATATTTAGGCCATGTCGTGGCTGATCTTTCTTCTTCTTCGTTCCCTATAATCCAGTAATAATACCTATCCGCCACATTGTATACTACTTTAGTGATATGGTCATTATCACTCCAGTCGCCTTTACTTCCCAGACCTTACGTACCCGTTTAAGGCTGGGAATCGAATCTACAACCTTCGGGCTGACAGGCAAGCGTCTAGCCACTACACCACGGCGGCTCCCCAGTCCCCTTTATTTTTAACTTCTTATAATCAGAGAGGTTTTAGGTTTGAAACCCATGTTGAGTATAGGCTGGTCCAACGGATAGGAACGCAGGGATCTCGTGCAGCAGGCCCAGGTTTGAATCCTCGATATTGTTTTATCAGACAGGGCTTGTAATTAACGTCTCTGTGTGTGTGTGTGTGTGTGTGTGTGTGTGTGTGTGTGTGTGTGGATTCTCTGAGCATAATTGTGTGTGCGTGTAGATTCCTAGTCCCAATTGTGTGTGTGTGTGTGGCCCGGGGGGAGGGGGGGGTTTACATCTATTACTTTAGCATGTCGTATTAGGCGACTAATCAATTAAGTGTTTGCTTGCTCCTTCTCCTTCGTCGTCTTTGCGCTCACTGGCTGTAAACTCCAGCGGAAAGCTCTGGTTCCCCCCCCCCCCCTTTTACTTCTGGAAATTGGTCTTGTTCCAGAAACATAATTTTGCTTACACATCCATTTTACAGACCTGGCTGAATTTGTATTCAGGTGCACTCCGACTTTAAAGGAAATAGCCCTATAACGACATGCTGTGGGGGAGGGAGTGAAGGGGACAGTGTCCTTCCTCCCTCAAATTGGTGGGTCCTGGAACCCACTAGGAGAAGCTGACATCTGACATTTGGGTCTTTGGGTAATGACATTTGTTTGTCTACAGATGGCAAAGATGCCAGCTTCTGCTAAAGGTTACCAGGTGGCCAGTCATGACGCGTGGCATACATTTAAAAAGGCGGAGGTATGTCTCGTGTTGATCTAAGGTCAGTGGGTATACATTTAAAAAGGCTGAGTTATGTCTATAGTTGATCTTAAGTCGAACGGTATACATTTAAAAAGGTGGAGATATGTCTCGTGGCTGTGAATCCTGGACAGTCGGTAGGCAGGCCAAACAATTTCTGGAAGCCTCGGAGATGTGGTTTTACAGAAGAATGCTTAGAATACTTTGGACAGCCAAAAAGAGCAATCAACAGGTTTTGAAAGAGGCGGGAGCCCGAAGACATCTTATCACAGACATCAGAAGGAGACAGTCATCATTTTTCGGCCATGTTATGAGAAGAGGGAAAATAGAACATGTTGTGACCACTGGAAAGATACGTGGAAGGAGAGATAGAGAAAGACAACGAGAGAAGATGCTTGACAGTCTTGTTGCATGGCATGGAGGTGTGTCGGCACACGAACTAATACATGCTGCAGGAGATCGCAGATTTTGGAGAGGCGTAATAGCCCACGCCAGTCGGCAAGGCACCTGATGATAATGATGATGTCTCGTGTTGATCTTAAGTCAAATGGTGTACATTTAAAAAGGCGGAGGTATGCATCGTGTTGATCTTAGGTCGAATAGCATACATTTAAAAAGGCAGAGGTATGTCTACTGTCGATCTTAGGCCAAAAAGCAATGATTTTAACAGGCAGAGGTGTGTCTATGGTAGATCTTTAGGCGAATGGCATACATTGAAAAAAGGCAGTCAAAGTCAATTGACGATCTTAGGCCAGATGGCATATATTTAAAAAGGCAAAGGTATTCTCTTGTTGATCTTAGGCCAAATGGCATATATTTAAAAAGGCAAAGGTATTCTTTTGTTGATCTTAGGCCAAATGGCATATATTTAAAAAGGCAAAGGTATTCTCTTGTTGCTCTTAGGCCAAATGGCATATATTTAAAAAGGCAAAGGTATTCTTTTGTTGATCTTAGGCCAGATGGCATATAGAAGTATATTTAAAAAGGCATAGATACGTCTCGTGTTAATCTTAGACCTAATGGCATGTAATTAAAAAGGCAAAGTTATGTCTATTGTGGATCTTAGGTCTTACGGCATATAATAAAAAAGGCAGAGGTATGTCTCTTGTCTATAAATCTCATGTGGAAGAGGAAAGACGGAGAGGTGCCAGCTATACAGTCTAATGTAAAAGAGGAAAGTCGGAGAGGTGCCAGCCATACAGTCTAGTGTAAAAGAGGAAAGACGGAGAGGTGCCAGCTATACAGTCTAGTGTAAAAGAGGAAAGACGGGGAGGTGCCAGCTATACAGTTTAATGTAAAAGAGAAAAGACGGAGAGGTGCCAGTTATACAGTCTAATGTAAAAGAGGAAAGTCGGAGAGGTGCCAGCCATACAGTCTAGTGTAAAAGATGAAAGACGGAGAGGTGCCAGCTATACAGTCTAATGTAACAGAGAAAAGACGGAGAGGTGCCGGCTATACAGTCTAATGTAAAAGTGGAAAGACGGAGAGGTGCCAGCTATACAGTCTAATGTAAAAGAGGAAAGACGGAGAGGTGCCAGCTATACAGTCTAATGTAAAAGAGGAAAGACGGAGAGGTGCCAGCTATACAGTCTAATGTAAAAGAGGAAAGACGGAGAGGTGCCAGCTATACAGTCTAGTGTAAAAGAGAAAAGACAGAGAGGTGCCAGCCATACAGTCAAATGAAGAAGAAGAACGACTGAGGTGAGCTAGTTATACAGTATCGTATAAAAAGAGCCACGACTGCATAGCTATATGTTTGTTTCATGCGTAAGAAGGGAAAGACTGAGAAAGATTTATGTTGTCTCTATAACACAGGTGTCTAAAAAGTCAGATTTGTCTCTCCTGATGATTTGGCAGAAAGTGTAGATTTTTTACACAATCTAGGAAGAGAAAGAAAGAAGAAAAAATTTAGGCAAAATTATAGGTTGTCTGATTACTTCGGTGTTAAAGAAGAATCATATCTGTGTTTTTTGCATAACTCAAATGTAGTAGAGGGCAGATTGAACGAAACTATGTGTTTTCTGCATAACTGAACTGTAGTAGAGGACAGATTGAACGAAATTATATGTTTTCTGCATAACTGAACTGTAGTAGAGGACAGATTGAACGAAACTTTGTGTTTTCTGCATAACTCAAATGTAGTAGAGGACAGATTGAACGAAACTTTGTGTTTTCTGCATAACTCAAATGTAGTAGAGGACAGATTGAACGAAACTTTGTGTTTTCTGCATAACTCAAATGTAGTAGAGGACAGATTGAACGAAACTTTGTGTTTTCTGCATAACTGAACTGTAGTAGAGGACAGATTGAACGAAACTTTGTGTTTTCTGCATAACTCAAATGTAGTAGAGGACAGATTGAACGAAATTATATGTTTTCTGCATAACTGAACTGTAGTAGAGGACAGATTGAACGAAACTATTTGTTGTCAGCGTAATTCAGCTGTATGGCTCTGAAACTTGGATCACAACTAAAAGAGATGGAGCCTTATTACAGGTTTTCGAAAACAGAGTCCTACGATGAATCTTTGGACCCATCAAAGATGCAAACAGCGGCGAATGGAGAGTGAGAAGCAACAACGAAATTTATAATCTATTTAAATCATCTGTGATCACTGGCATCATGAGAGCTAATAGACTGAAATAGTTGTTGCATACTGAAAGAATATCAGATGACAGAGAAGTAAAACTTGTATACACGAGGGAAATGTGTGGTCGTAGGCCAGAGGCAGACCAAGAAGACGATGCAGTGATTTTGTCCAGACAAACCTGCAAACACTTGGTGTTACCAAATTGAAAGAGAAGGCCAACCAGAGAGATGAGTGGAAGCGGGTGCTATCTGCAGCAATGACCCTCGAGGACTCACAATGCTGAAGAAAAAAGAAGAAGAAATAATTCAACTGTAGTGGAAAACAGATTACACGTAACTATTATTCTCAGCGTACTTCAAATGTAGAAGTTTGAACAAACTATGGAAATGGAAATGTGATATCCAACCCCCTGTAAATAGGACATTCAACACAAGTGTACATGTCAAATTTAACATAAATGAAAATATAAAATCAAAAACAAGAGTAAATATGATATCCAGAACAACTGTAAATGTGACATGCAACACAGGTGTAAATGTTACATTCATCACAAGTGTCAATAAGACAGCCAACACAAGTGTCATGTGACATCCAACACAAGTGTAAATATGTCACCCAACACAAGTTTCAGTGTTTCACCCAACACGAGTGTTAATGTGAGATCCAACACAAGTGTCAGTGTGACATCCAGCACAAATATCAATATGACATCCAACTCAAGTGTCAGCTCAACATCAACACAAATGTCAAATGTGACATCAAAAACAAATGTCAATATGACATCCAACACAAATATCAGTCTGACATCCAACACAAGCTTCAGTGTGACATCTAACACAAGAGTTAATGTGTCATCCAACACAGGTGGCAGTGTGACATCTAACACACGTTTCAATACGACATCCAACACAAGTGTCAATGTAACATCCAACACAAGTGTCGATATAAAATCCAACACATGTTTTACAATGACATCCAACACAAATGTCAATGTGATATCCAACACAAGTGTCAGTGTGACATCAACACAAGTGTCAGAGTGTCACATAACACAAGTGTCAGTGTGACATCAACACAAGTGTCAGAGTGTCACATAACACAAGTGTCAGTGTGACATCAACACAAGTGTCAGAGTGTCACATAACACAAGTGTCAGTGATAAATCCAACTCAGTAATCCCGTTGTTGTCCTCCAGGCCCTGGAGACTTCTGCCATCAGGGGTATCATCCTCGGCTCCATCCTCTCCTTCTGCGTGCTGACCTTTGCCACCTACAACATCATCATCAGTTGCCTGGCAACGGTCAACATCCTGTTAGTCATCGCTACGTTCTCTGGCTGTATCAAGTTGTTCGGTTACAAAATTTCGGTAATTTGTCGTGGTGTACGGTGTGCGTGTGTGTATGTGAGTGCGTGTGGTGTGGGTGTGTGTGCGTGTGTGTGTGTGTGTGTGCGACTGTGGTGTGTACGTGGTGTGTGTGTGTGTGAGTGCGTGTGGTGTGTGTGTATGTGAGTGCGGGTGGTGTGTGCGACTGTGGTGTGTACGTGGTGTGTGTGTGTGTGTGTGTGTGTGTGTGGTGTGTGTTTATGAGTTCGTGTAGTATGTATGTGCGTGTGATGTGTGTGTGTACGTGTAGTGGGTGTGTTTGTACGTCTGGTGTGTGTATTTGCGCTTTTTTGTGTGTGGTGTGTGTCTGGTGTGCATGTGGTTTGTGTGCGTGTTGTGTGTCTGTGCGTGTGGTGTGTGTGAGAGTGCATGTGTGTGTGTGTGCGCGCGCGTGTGTGTGCGTGCATGCGGTGTGTGCGTGTGGTGTATGTGTATTGTCTATACATGTGGTGTGTGTGTGCGCGCGCCTGTGTGTGCGTGTGTACGCGCGCGTATATTTTGTGAAGGAGGGAGATGTTTGCTTTCGTGTATAGTTGCCGTGTGCGCGTTTCCAGGTTGTATGATCGAGTGCAGTGGATTTCAAACTTTCCAATGCCGCAACCATTTAATACAGTACCCCCATGTTGTTGCGTTTTCCAGACAATTATTTGTCTTGATAACTTCAATGAATATGTGTTTTCGACGGTTTTAGGCTACCTTTGTGACAGGGTCGTTCGACGCACACAAAACGGGTCGGGAACCACAGATTAAGAACCGCTAGTCTAGTGTATAGTGGTATGGTTGTGAAGGGCCGTGATGCGTGATGATACAGAGATGCGGCTGCATCAGGCGACATTGTAAGGTGGTTGCATAAGCAACGATATGAAAATGCAGTTTTAACTTTTGATCTCACATCGTGAAGCTGTTTGAGGCGACGTTTGAAGGCTTGCTCATAGTGAGAAAATCTGCCTCACGGAACTGGGGTTGTGTGTGTGTGTGTTTGTGTGTGCGTGTGTGTGTGTGTGTGTGTGTGTGTGTGTGTACACGTGCATGAGTGTGTGCATGCATGAGGAGTTGTGTCATGTGGTTTTGGTTTGTATGTCAGGGTTGTGTGTATGTGTGTATGCATATGTGTGTGTTTACTGACGATATGTGAGGTAAAGTTGTGTGCAGTGGGAGGTAAAGTTGTGTGTAGTCGCGTTGTGTTCGGTAAAGTTGTGTGTATCAGGAAGGGCGATGTTGTGTGTGCGTATGTGTGAAGGGGTAAAATGTGTTGTGGGTTGTGTATGTATGTGTGTGTGTGTGTGTGTGTGTTAGTGGAATTTGTGTGTGTTCTAATATTGCGTGTTTATAAACAAACAGCCAACGGATGAGCTTGATATAATTTCAGATGATCGAGTCCGTCAATCTCTCCCTGGTGGGCGGTCTCTCGGTCGACTACGTGGTTCACTTCTCCGACAGCTACTCCCACGCCCCTCATGATGACAGACAGCGACGTGTCCGGGACATGCTGGAGCACATGGGCATCTCCGTTCTGTCTGGCGCCATCACCACATCTGGGGCTGCCATCTTCCTGCTGCAAGCTAAGATCTTCTTCTTCTTTCAGTTTGGCGTCTTCATCATCTTGACAATATTCTTCTCGCTGTTTTACAACCTGTTCTGGTTTGCTCCGATGATGGCCGTGATTGGGCCTGAAGGGAACACAGGTTCTTTAACGATTGTGGTTCGGTGGATCCAGAAGGTGCTGCAACCGATACGAGCAGAACTGGCGTCAGCTGATCCAGCGCATAAGAAAATGTCTTATTCCAGGAGCTCTACTCATATGCTGAGGCATTAAGAATGGCGCTGCGGGAAATTACCAGGGAATCAGATCGACGCTCAACACTCGAAGGAAAGACGAGATCGATATAAATTCAGACAATAGCTGGAACCATCTGAACTGGAACTTTTCGATTACTACTGGAGATGGGGACGGAGTGCGTATAGTGGTGTCTCGAGTGCCATGATGTCGATTCTCGATTCAATATTCGATCAACCATTATTGGCATACATTGTTCCTCACACAGAAGGTGCATGGGCCTAATTTTAAGGATCTGATCCTATAATATACTTTCCGTCCTTTTTAGGATGACATTTTTCGTTTTTTGAAACCCTACTCTGGCTTTTGCCAGTGGCCGCAACATAGCCTGGTCATAAATAGGGCCTAAAGACTGAACGGGGTTTCTGTGACCTCTTCACGGGTGATCCTCATCAACATGGTCGTACATTGTGTCACCGGGTGTTTATCGCTTGTGTGGTGTCCTGTGGGGTCAAAGTTAGTCAGTCAATTTTAAGGAAGGGGAAGGGGATTGGGGGGAAGGGGGGGGGGCAGTGTGTGGATAAAGCTAGAATACAGTAAGAGGCGGTTATTTAAGGTTTCGCTGACAACGGATGTGATGGTCCCAAATGGTACAGATATTGTAGTCTCGCTGTAAATCACGAGATATCACGACAACATCCCTTTACAGGACGCGGGCAGAAGAGGAGGAGGAGTACGAGCAAGAAGCAGCAGCAACAGAAGAAGAATGTGGAGAAGGAGGAGGAGAAGGGGGAAAAAAAAGGGGGGGGGGGCAGCAGAAGAAAAACATTCTCAATATAAAGTTAACGCTGCAGGATGTTCATTTACAAATAAAAGCAGTCAGAAGTTTTTGTGTAGAAATAGAGTAGCGCGATGTTCGTGTGCAGATTACAATTTTTAGATGTTCCTGTGTAGATAAGAGTAAAAATATGTTCCTGTGTAGATTAGAGTAACAAGATGTTCCTGTGTAGATTAGAGTAACAATATGTTTCTGTGAAGATTAGAGTAACAAGATGCTGCTGTGTAGATTAAAGTAACAAGACATTCCTCTGTAGATTAGAGTAACAAAATGTTCCAGTGTAGATTAGAGTAACAAGACATTCCTCTGTAGATTAGAGTAACAAGATGTTCCTGTTTAGATTAGAGTAACAACATGTTCCTGTGAAGAATAGAGTAACAATATGCTCCTGTGTAGGTTTAAGTAACAAGACATTCCTCTGTAGATTAGAGTAACAATATGTTCCAGTGTAGATTAGAGTAACAAGACATTCCTCTGTAGATTAGAGTAACAATATGTTCCTGTGTAGATTAAAGTAACAATATGTTCCTGTGTAGATTAGAGTAGCAAGATGTTCCTGTGTAGATTAGAGTAACAATATGTTCCTGTGTAAATTAGAGTAACAAGATGTTCCTGTGTAGATTAGAGTAACAATATGCTCCTTTGTAGATTAGAGTAACAATATGTCCCTGTGTAGATTAGAGTAACAATATGTTCCTGTGTAGATTAGAGTAACAAGATGTTCCTTTGTAGATTAGAGTAACAATATGTTCCTGTGTAAATTAGAGTAACAAGATGTTCCTGTGTAGATTAGAGTAACAATATGCTCCTGTGTAGATTAGAGTAACAAGATGTCCCTGTGTAGATTAGAGTAACAATATGTTGATTAGAGTAACAAGATGTTCCTGTGCAGATTAGAGTAACAATATGTTTCTGTGAAGATTAGAGTAACAAGATGTTCCTGTGTAGATTAGAGTAACAAGATGTTCCTGTGTAGATTAAAGTAACAATATGTTCCTGTGTAGATTAGAGTAACAAGATGTTCCTGTGTAGATTAGAGTAACAAGATGTTCCTGTGGAGATTAGAGTAACAAGATGTTCCTGTGGAGATTAGAGCAACAAGATGTTCATGTGTAGATTAGAGTAAAAAGATGTTCCTGTGTAGATTAGAGTAACAAGATGTTCCTGTGTAGATTGGAGTAACAAGATGTTCCTGTGTAGATTAGAGTAACAAGACATTCCTCTGTAGATTAGAGTAACAATATGTTCCTGTGTAGATTAAAGTGACAAGACATTCCTCTGTAGATTAGAGTAACAATATGTCCCTGTGTAGATTAGAGTAACAAGATGTTCCTGTGTAGATTAGAGTAACAAGATGTTCCTGTGTAGATTAGAGTAACAAGATGTTCGTGTGTAGATTAGAGTAACAAGATGTTCCTGTGTATGTTAGAGTAACAAGATGTTCCTGTGTAGATTAGAGTAGCAAGATGTTCCTGTGTAGATTGAAGTAACAAGATGTTCCTGTGTAGATTAGAGTGACAACATGTTCCTGTGTAGAATAGAGTAACAATATGTTCCTGTGTATATTAGAGTAACAAGACATTCCTCTGTAGATTAGAGTAAAAATATGTTCCTGTGTAGATTAGAGTAACAATATGTTCCTGTGTAGATAAGAGTAACAAGATGTTCCTGTGTAGATAAGAGTAACAATATGTTCCTGTGTAGATTAGAGTAACAATTTGTTCCTGTGTAGATTAGAGTAACAAGCTGTTCCTGTGTAGATTAGAGTAACAACATGTTCATGTGTAGATTAGAGTAACAAGATGTTCCTCTGTAGATTAGAGTAACAATATGTTCCTGTGTAGATTTGAGTAACAATATGTTCCTGTGTAGATTAGAGTAACAATATATTCCTCTGTAGATTAGAGTAACAATATGTTCCTGTGTGGATTAGAGTAACAATATGTTTCTGTGTAGATAAGAGTAACAATATGTTCCTGTGTAGATTAGAGTAACAATTTGTTTCTGTGTATATTAGAGTAACAATATGTTCCTGTGTAGATTCGAGTAACGCGATGTTCCTGTGTAGATTAGAGTAACAAAATGTTCGTCTGTAGATTAGAATAACAATATTTTCCCGTGTAGATTAGGGTAACATGATGTCCCTGTGTAGATTAGAGTAACAAGACATTCCTCTGTAGATTAGAGTAACAATATGTTCCTGTGTAGATTAGAGTAACAAGATGTTCCTGTGTAGATTAGAGTAACAAGATGTTCCTGTGTAGATTAAAGTAACAAGATGTTCCTGTGTAGATTAGAGTAACAAGATGTTCCTGTGTAGATTAGAGTAACAATATGTTCCTGTGTAGATTAGAGTAACAAGATGTTCCTGTGTAGATTAGAGTAACAAGATGTTCCTGTGTATATTAGAGTAACAAGATGTTCCTGTGTAGATTAAAGTAACAAGATGTTCCTGTGTAGATTAGAGTAACAAGATGTTCCTGTGTAGATTAGAGTAACAATATGTTCCTGTGTAGATTAGAGTAACAAGATGTTCCTGTGTAGATTAGAGTAACAAGATGTTCCTGTGTATATTAGAGTAACAAGATGTTCCTGTGTAGATTAGAGTAGCAAGATGTTCCTGTGTAGATTGAAGTAACAAGATGTTCCTGTGTAGATTAGTGTGACAACATGTTCCTGTGTAGAATAGAGTAACAATATGTTCCTGTGTATATCAGAGTAACAGGACATTCCTCTGTAAATTAGAGTAAAAATATGTTCCTGTGTAGATTAGAGTAACAATATGTTCCTGTGTAGATAAGAGTAACAAGATGTTCCTGTGTAGATAAGAGTAACAATATGTTCCTGTGTAGATTAGAGTAACAATTTGTTCCTGTGTAGATTAGAGTAACAAGCTGTTCCTGTGTAGATTAGAGTAACAACATGTTCATGTGTAGATTAGAGTAACAAGATGTTCCTCTGTAGATTGGAGTAACAATATGTTCCTGTGTAGATTTGAGTAACAATATGTTCCTGTGTAGATTAGAGTAACAATATATTCCTCTGTAGATTAGAGTAACAATAGGTTCCTGTGTGGATTAGAGTAACAATATGTTTCTGTGTAGATTAGAGTAACAATATGTTCCTGTGTAGATTAGAGTAACAAAATGTTCGTCTGTAGATTAGAATAACAATATGTTCCCGTGTAGATTAGGGTAACATTATGTCCCTGTGTAGATTAGAGTAACAATATGTTCCTGTGTAGATTAGAGTAACAATATGTTCCTGTGTAGACTAGAGTAACAAGATGTTCTTCTGTAGATTAGAGTAACAAGATATTCCTCTGTAGATTAGAGTAACAAGATGTTACTGTGTAGATTAGAGTAACAATATGTAGATTAGAGTAACAAGATGTTCCTCTGTAGATTAGAGTAACAAGATGTTACTGTGTAGATTGTAGTAACACAATTTTCCTTTGTAGATTGGAGTAGCAAGATGTTCCTGTGTAGATTATAGTAACAAGATTTCCTCTGTAGATTAGAGAAACAATATGTTCCTTTGTAGATTAGAGTAACAAGATGTTCCTCTGTAGTTTAGAGAAACAATATGTTCCTGTGTAGATTAGAGTAACAAGATGTTCCTGTGTAGATTAGAGTAACAAGATGTCCCTGTGTAGATTAGAGTAACAACATGTTCCTATTTAGATTAGAGTAACAAGATGTTCCTGTGTAGATTAGAGTAACAAGATGTTACTGTGTAGATTAGAGTAACAAAATGTTCCTTTGTAGATTAGAGTAACAAGATGTTCCTGTGTAGATTATAGTAACAAGATGTTCCTCTGTAGATTAGAGAAACAATATGTTCCTGTGTAGATTAGAGTAACAAGATGTTCCTCTGTAGTTTAGAGAAACAATATATTCCTGTGTAGATTAGAGTAACAAAATGTTCATGTGTAGATTAGAGTAACATGATGTCCCTGTGTAGATTAGAGTAACAAGATGTTCGTGTGTAGATTAGAGTAACAAGATGTTCCTGTGTAGATAAGAGTAACAATATGCTCCTGTGTAGATTAGAGTAACAAAATGTTCCTCTGTAGATTAGAGTAACAAGATGTTCGTCTGTAGTTTAGAGTAACAAGATGTTCCTCTGTAGATAAGAGTAACAGGATGCACCTCTGTAGATTCGAATAATAAGATGTTCCTGTATAGATTAGAGTAACAAG